AAGGTTCTTTAGAGTTAATAAAATTATTTTTAAAAATTTTTAAGGGGGTCAATTTTGTATATCAAAATAGTTTCTATATTTAGAAAGTTTCTTTAGAATTAATAAAATTATTTTTAAAAATTTTAAAGGGGGTCAACTTTGTATATCAAAATAGTTTCTATATTTTGAAATGATCCTTATAGTTTATAAAATTATTTTTTAAAATTTTTCAGTGGGTCAATTTAGTATATAACATTATTTTCCAAATTTAGAATGGTTCTTTAGAGTTAATAAAATTATTTTTAAAAATTTTAAAGGGGGTCAATTTTGTATATCAAAATAGTTTCTATATTTAGAAAGGTTCTTTAGAGTTACTAAAATTATTTTTAAAAATTTTCAAGGGGGTCAACTTTGTATATCAAAATAGTTTCTATATTTGGAAAGATTCTTTAGAATTAATAAAATTATTTTTCAAAATTTTTCAGGGGGTCAATTTAGTATATAAAATTATTTTTCAAATTTAGAAAGGTTCTTTAAAGTTTATAAAATTATTTTTCAAAATTTTTTAGATGGTCAATTTTGTATATAAAATTATTTTCCATATTTAGAAATGTTCTCTAGACGAAAGACAGCGTGGGGGACTAAATCGACTAAAAACAATTGTTTTCAGGGGCCAAATCGATGAAAAAGCAATTGAGGGGCTACATTGACAGTTCGCTAATAATTGAGGGACCAAATTGTTCAGTAACTCTTATAATTCCATTTACCATTATATGTGAAGCGTTTATTTTTTTAAGTTATATGAAAGAAACTGTGATTACAGAGAGAAAAATTGTAGTGAGGGGCTCTTAGTTGTTTTCACCACTTCAAGGATGGTGAGTTTTGTTCATATGAAGATAAGATAGTACTGATGTAGGTTGATTATTTATAATATATCTGGAAGTAAAATTTGAGCTTTAAGATCATATAGGACACTCTTTGATCCTAAATCAATAAATAATTAGTTATATACACATTTAGCAATACCAATGTTATTACTAATACTTTATATATATATCTGCAGTATTGAACCTTTAATGTGAGATAAGAAAGAAATAATAAGTTAAATGATGTCTTTATTTGGATGCACTAAGACTATTACAATGCTCCATCACTTTGCAAACCTGTACAACTTTTGCTTTATTTTATACTTTGCTTATCCTTTGGATTTTAATGTATTATTTTAAGCTAATTTAATTATTAACATTAAAAAAAATACATTTTAAAGTGTGACAATTTATACTAATAAATCATTTAAAAAATTGGCAAAAGATTATTAGAAAGTTTGATGCCTCTGCATCAATTAAAAAAAAAAAAGTTTTATTGCTACTGTTTACCTCAATCATCTCATAAATATGAATAATGTTTCTTAGATGGGTCTAATCAACACATAAACTAAAAACACAAAAATGACAATCATAAACAAAATATGTACAAAAATAAATGATAAAAACATTATGATAATGATTAAGACATAATAAATTTACCTTTCCAGAAAATCACAAAACTCTGGAAATCCTCATTGAAAAGGAGCTGTGTATCAAGAGTTATATATCTTGACATAACCGGCTAATAAAAAAGAACATTCATTACTTGTACTTATTCAAACACTTTCAAATATAAAGAAAAATTAAAACACTTGTGTTTAGATTAACTCTTCATATCATTCTTAACTCTACACAATTGCATAAGAACAACCATAGGATTTGCAAGGCCAGAATTAAAAAAAGATTTCAACTCTTGGTATATGTAGATCTCACACTGTAGCCTTCAATTGATTGTCCCTATAAACAAATAAACTACTTAATAAAAAAATACATATACAAAATACAATAAAAATAACAAAATTAGATTATTTACTTTGTATCCACGTACAATTAGAAAATAAGTAAGTTAAGAAGGCTTCCCTGCAATGATCTTATCCAATGGGGAGTATATCTCAACGACCCTACCAATAACGTCAAACATGTTAATAAAAAAAAAATCAGATGTAGATTAAAATTGTAAATGAAACTTACCAACGAACTGTTTATCATCTACAGACTTCAAAGATTAAAATGATTTCAATAAATAAATTTGTCTAGAAAAGTTGTCATTTTTTTATTCTTTAACCAAAGTAGCGTAGTTGAATTACAACATAAAATAATGAGTGCATTTTTTGTAAATATAGAAATTACTTATCACCATAAAACTTTTAATAGCATAAACTTTTCATTCTTTGAAAAGCTTACAGTACTTACCAACATGCTCCCTTGGTATACGAGCATGAAGTTCCCTACAATGGAGTAAAAAAGAAAAGTCTAATTTTGCAATTTATTTTTGTAGTACAAGAAACAACTTTGTAATGCATCTTTTTTTCAATTTCACATACAACACGAGTTCAAGAAAAAAGCAAAATCGAAAAAAAAAAATTCCATTTGATCGTGAAATATGTACTCTCTAGATTTTATGGAATCACTCCCCTTTCTCTATGGGACTTCATATAGGTGCACACCAATCACCATCTAATAGCTCTGAAAGTCTTCAATGGAGAAATATCATGGGCAAGGATAAACATTGGAGTCGTAAAAAAAAAAACAAAACAAAATTGAAAAAAAAAATACCTCTTGATCGTGAAACATGCACTCTCTAGCTTTTATGAAATCACTCTCTTTTCTCTATGGGACTTCATATAAGTGCCACCGATTGTAATCTAATAGCTCTGCAAGTCTTCAATGGAGAAATATCCTGGGCAAGAATAAACATTGAAACCGTAACAATTGTATGTTAATATACATATCTATATCTCTATATATAATTACTCAATATAAATAAATGAATATAAGAAAAATATATTACCAATTAATAGATTTACCAATTAAGTTAATACATGAATATATATGGAAACAATATTATCAATTAATATATTTTAATTAATTTCTATTTTACATTTCGTTACCAAATAAATTTTACTACAAAAATTTGAGCGAGAAAAATGAAATAAGAGGATTTTACTTTATATATATATATATATATATATTATTTATTTATTTATTTATATTTATTAATTTGCTCGGTTAAAGCAAGCTCAATAGGTGTCATCGAGCTTGCTCGGTTTACACCTATTGAGCTTGCTTATAGTCACAATTCCACCTATTTAGGATGACACCTATTGAGCTTGCTTATAGTCACAATTCCACCTATTTAGGATGACACCTATTGAGTTTGCTTATAGTCACAATTCCACCTATTTAGGATGACACCTATTGAGCTTGCTTTAACCGAGTAAATTAATAAATATTGGGAAAATGGCACTTTTTCCCCCTATGTTATATACTTATAGCACTTTTTCCCCCTCAATTATTTATGTAAGCACATTAGCCCCCTCAATTATTTTAAAAGTGGTGGTTTTCTCCCCTAATATATTAAATTGACATTTCTACCCTTAAAGTAAACATTTTATTTATTTTACTTCTCCAACAAATTATTGCGTATATGTAGCGATTACCACGGTTCGGTTCGAACTGAACCAGACACTATAGCAATCGAATTAAAAGTTTTCAGTTATGATTCAGATTTAGAACTCAATATTTGGATTTCAATTTATTAAATTTAAGAATAAAAAAAAAAACTGGATCATGAACCGGCAGTTCCGGATCCCGTTCGCGATTTTGAACCGTCTTTATTTTAAAATTTTATTTTTTATTTTAAAATAGTTTAAATTCAACTATAAATGTATTTTATTTTTTCAGTTTGGAACATGAACCGACCATTCCAGTTCGTGATTTTAATAAACTCTAAATATCGCGTTTTGATTATAAATTGTAATTGGAATATTTTGGTTTGGTTACCATAGTATCTGGTTTGAACCAAATTACAGTAATAATTTATTGGAGAATAAAAATAAATGAAATATTTATTTTAAGGGTAAATATGTCCATTTAACATTTCAGGGGGAAAAAGAGCCACTTAAATAATTGAGGGGGAAAAAGTGCTATAAGTATATAACATAGGGGGAAAAAGTGCCATTTTCCCATAAATATTTTAAGGTTTCATGGTTAATATGAATTACAAACTTGGTAACTCCTCTCAAGTCTCAATGCACTAAGCTAATCCTCATGAAGAGCATATAACTCTTTATCATAGGCCGGATAGTTTAAGTGTGGCTCATTTAGTTTTTAACTGAACTCTTTATGCATAAATTTTTGAATTATAGCAAGTGAGACATAGAAGGAATAAGTAAAATATATGAATAATGTTTAAGCTACTACATACTATTGTGCCAACAATTCACAAGAATACAAATCTTAGAATTAGAATTTATTATCAAAGTGGTCCCTCGATTATTTGTAAAATTATTAATTTAGTGCTTGATAATTTTTCGTGACCAATTAAGTCCACGAATTTAAAAATGTTAATCAATTTGGTCCTCCGTTTATTTTACTGTTAGATATCCGTGAACTCGGGATCAAAGTAGTAATTTTGCTATAGTCAAGAGACTCATAATTTTATGGAAAATTATGCTTCACAAAGACGCCGTTTGAATTTTAAAAAAGAATTGTTTCTTTCCTTGCTGTTTGTCTTTAGAATTCGTTCTTCTATATTCACAATTTTTTTAACTCTATATTCACAAATTTAGAACTGAATATTCACAATTTTAGATCTCAATATATAAAATTACAGAACTCAATATTCACAATTGCAAAACTCTATATTCACAATTACAAAACTGAATATTCACTCGTTGAGATGTTTTCAATAATTAAAAAAAATATCATTAATTACGAAAACAATGCCACTAACAACATTACTATTTTCACACGCTTAAATTGCGTCATTTTGGACCTGGATCTACCTTACAAGGTGGACCCAGGTCCTTGACATAACGCTCTATAATTTTATGGACTCTGGTCCATGATATAATTTGTTTTGAGATATCTTTATTGGGCCTCAAATTACAAGTGCAGGAAAGATTATGAGGCCCAACCCATAATGTAAGCTTTACCGGCTGACTTTCAGAGTTCAGCAATCAGCACTTCCTTCACACAGCGCCACGCGGCGTCGCCGCCACACTAAACTTCACTCCTTCAGCGCCCACCGCCATCGACGCAGCCAGCCTCGCCAGTGACGGCTCACCGAGGCAGCAAGTAAGTTTTCCGAGGCTGCGAGAGGAGACCTCCAGGCGGAAGACCACCACCGGCGGCCAGCGCCTTAGCTATATGGCCACCGGCTAGAGGAGACTGCTGGAAAACCTTAGAAATTCTGGAGGCATTCAGGTTTTTTCTCCTATTTTCGCTGAATTTTCTTGAATTTTTCTAATTTTTGAATGTTTGTATATTTTTCTCGACATTTTCTGTTTTTCGAATGTGTATTTATATAATGATGTGTACATTTCTTTTGTTCTTAATTTTGCTGATTTTTCTTGATATTTTTTTTTTCTGATTTTCGGATATAATGTTAATATAGTTCTGAATTTAGCTGATTTAATTTTAAAATTTCTGATTTTTTGTGTATAATGAGCATATAATTCGAACTCAGGTTTTTTGTTTAATTGGCTCTGGCATTATAATGCCAGACTGAATTGGTTAAATGTGCTTTGTGTATTTATACAATGAGCCCGAGTAACATCAGCATCCATTTTCCCCACCAACCATCCTTCTTAGGTTCCACTATCTATCTTAAAAAGACCCATTTGCCTTAGATGAGAAGTGAATATTTAGTTAATGTATATTTGGCTTTAGTGCATATAATGTTACTTTTACAGCAGAGGATTATAAATTCGCTGAGATGAGAAGTTGTTGCAGCAAGCAGTGGGTACATTATATACTAAAATGACAACATGTGAACTGCAATAGTTGTTAGTCGATTGACTGAATTGAGGATTTTTAATTGCGAGTGGTTTCTGATGGTTTGTTAGATCAGCAGTGGGTTTGAATTTTTAATCAACAATTCAATGGACACTATGTAGTTTGTAGTTGAACCGTTTTGATTTTTAAAGATCTTTACTTTCTGACCCTATTGTTCAAAATTCTTTAATTCAGTGATGCAGATATGTAATTTGTAAGTTTCTTTCATAGCTATGTTATTAATCTGATACTTGCAATTTGGATAACACTCTTGACTTTTAAATGGAATGATACCAACACCTGCATTCAATTCCTTTTAGGCTTTGATCAAATGCTGTTTTCAACTTTCATGTAATGTTACTTGTCCCTTTTATGTACGGAGTATAATATATACTGAAATGTGGGACAGGGATTCCCTGAGGGGAATAGCCATCCCCATCGGATTTCTCTGGGAACCCCCAGGAAATCCCCACGGATGTGGGGATGGGGAAAATATTTCCTCCGAAGCCAGGGAGGGTGTTAGTTTGGGTTCAGGGAATATGCCCCTATATATTCCCTGCTTCATGGCCAACGCTAATTTGCGCAGCCTCAGCTTAGAGACAAGTGTTTTTCTAACGTTTAACTCGGCAACCATGGTTCCCAATCAATCTCTATTCCTTCCTTCGTTATGCTTTTATTTGAAATTTTCAACATTCTATTTTGTTGACCAATTCATTTTAATTTATTTTTAAAATATTAATTACAGAAAAAATGCAGGTGAGATCTGTCCTTAATTGGTTTAGTAATTCTCCGACGTACAGGGAGAAATGAAATTTTTTATCTTTCCATTTTGAGAAATTTACGAAATAAATAATGAGTTGTATATCTATGTATATTGGTTTGTCATAAGTATCTTCTCCATTTTCTTTTAGATTTTTAAAGTCTGAGTTTTTCTGTAGAATTTTGAATTTATTGTGCTTTCTGAATGTTAGAAAGTGCTATGGTTTGATAGATAAAAGCCAGTTACTGTTATTCTGTTGTTTGGAGCTGTTTGATTCTCCTAAGTGCCTAGCAATCTTACAATCATTATTTTAGACTTGTGTTAAGTTGAATTTATTTAAATTACAGAGTAGTGCTTGACAACATTGGCAGGATCTCTATTTTCTGTAAATAGTTGTACTTTATATCTTATGAAGTCTAATCCTTTTATTGTCTATATTTTCTCTTATAGAAAACAGTAAATGGATTTCTTTCATATAAGAGTAAAGCAAAGACTGCCATTACATTCCTGAATGCGCAGAAAAGCCGATCCTCTCCAAAACACTGTAGAGTTTTCAATGGCTGCACTATACAGAACCCGAAGGACACATTTCCTTGTCTTCAAAGTAACAACAAAGCAGCTACTCATTGTGCAACTCAACCAAAGCGCTTCTTTGACTCGACTCTTGCGACCCATTTGCACCAATTCCCATAATTTTCTCCGTCCAGAACATTTCAATACTGTTGATACCCTCATTTCAATATTCACAAAGCATCCCATCGCCTCGGAAAATCAACAACTCTTGGACTTGGGATCAAAGCTCACTCCTAAGATTGTTGAATCGGTTCTGAAAAGCCTCAGGAGTTGGAGAATTTCCCAAATTTTCTTTGACTGGGCCTCAAATCAACAGGGGTATAACCATAATTGTTACACTTTCAATGCCATGGCCGAAATCCTTTCACGTGCTCGACAAAATGACCCATTGAGAATCTTGGCTGGCAAGTTAGTTAAATCTGGATGTTATATGAGTCCTGGGGCATTGGGTTTCTTTCTGAGGTGTTTGGGTAATCAAGGGCTTGTTAAGGAGGCTAATATGTTGTTTGATCAGTTGAAAAGGTTGGGTCTTTGCATCCCAAATAAGTACACTTATGGCTGCTTGTTGGAGGTCATCTCGAAGTCCAGTGATGTTGCTATGATAGAGTTGAGGTTGACTGAGATGCAGGACTATGGATGGGTGTTGGATAAATATGCTTTGACTCCAGTTTTACATTGTTACTGCAATGCAGGGAAGTTTGGAAATGCTTTGAACATTTTCAATCAGATGCACGAGAAGGGATGGGTAGATGCCCATGTACTCTGTATCTTGATGGTGTCATTTACCAAGTGGGGAGAGGTAGGCAGGGCATTCGAGTTGATTGAGAGGATGGAAGAACTTAATATTAACATAGGTGAAAAGACATTTTGCATCTTGGTTCATGGCTTTGTGAAGGCTGGCAAAATGGACAAGGCATTGCTACTATTGGATAAAATGCGGAACCTGGGATTTTCCCCAGATATTGCGATTTATGGTGCTTTAATAGGAGGGTTATGCCGGAATAAGGAGACCGAGAAAGCTTTGCAGTTATTCAGAGTCATGAATGAATCTGGTCTAAACCCTGATGTTAAAATTATTTCTGAGCTCTTATCTTGTGTTCCTGAAGAGAGCGATATGATCCAGTTGCTGAAGATGAGGAATCTGAAGTTGGATTTGAAAGCAAAGATTCTGATCTACAATTCTGTTCTAAAAGGTTTAATTAATAAAGGTTCTACTGATAAAGCTTATCATCTACTTCGAGCAACAATGGGAATGGAGTATGACTGTGATTTTTATGATGATAAACTTTTCTTGATGAAGGAAACTTTTCACCCTGATACCTTGTCTTTTGAAACTGTTATTGATGGATTGTGCAAGTCTGATAAATTAGATATGGCTCTTGTCCTCTTTCGAGATATGGATCAATTTGGTTGTAAACGCAGTGTGCTACTGTATAATACTTTAATTGATTGTCTAAGCAGTTTGGATCGCTTGGGTGAATGCCGTAGGCTTCTGATTGAAATGAACGAATCAGGATTCAAGCCAACTCATTTTACATACAATTCCATTTTTAGATGCTTATGTAGGCAAGGGGATGTTGAACAGGCTCTTGGTATGGTGAGGGAAATGCGTGTGAATGGTCATGAGCCTTGGATAAAAAACTACACATTGCTTATTAAGACACTTTGCCAAGATGGGAAAGCAGTCATATCATGTAATTTCCTCGCTGAAATGGTTAGAGAAGGCTTCCTCCCTGATGTGGTTGCTTATTCAGCGGCCATAGATGGCCTCCTGAAAATTCAGCACATGGATAAAGCTATGGAGCTTTTCAGAGAAATTTGTGCGCGTGGTTATTGCCCTGATGTGGTTGCTTATAATGTTATAGTAAAGGGGCTATGTAAAACTGAAAGAGTACTGGAAGCCCAGGATCTTTTGAATGAGATGTTGGATAAAGGGCTTGTTCCTTCAGTCGTAACTTACAACTTACTCATTGATGGATGGTGTAAAAATGGTTGTATTGATCAAGCTATCCTAATTTTCTCGAGGATGGTTGAAAAAGAGCAGGAACCAAATGTCATTACTTACACTACTTTAATAGATGGGTTTTGCAATGCTGGAAAACCAGATGATGCTATGAAGCTTTGGGTTGAAATGGAGAGCAAAAGGTGCTTTCCAAATAGGATTTCTTTTATGGCTATCATTAATGGGCTTTGCAAGTGTAGCAAACCAGATGATGCTCTGGTTTATTTACAGGAAATGGAAGAGAAGGATATGGAGCCTGATGTTTTCATCTATATAGTCCTAATTAATGCTTTTATATCCAAATCAAATCCAAGTGCAGCTTATGCCTTATTACGAAGGATGGTCCAGAAGGACATTTTCCCCGGTTTAAGTGACAAGTACCATTCAGTTCTTAAAGATGCAATACTAACCATGTTCACTGATCCAAGGACTTCATCAGATGTAAAAACTCTAATTGAAGATGGCCACATCCCTGAACATCTCCGTATTTCAGAAACTGGATATGGACTTAACATCACCGAATGACCTCATTGGAAGGGTGTAATATCAGCTTACATCACATGTTGGAGATTTGAGTTTATCAGAAGTAGCATTCACTTCTATTATTGCTTTGTAAGCAGAAGCCTTTGCACAAAGCAGAACAAATTCCGGTGCCATTTTTAGAGGCAGGTAACTGTGAGCTGTCTGCTATTCTTTTTATTATCTTGGATACGGAAACTTCCTTCTAGTTCTTTTTAGCATGTGTTTAAGGGGTTGTACCATGTTCCATCTTCAATCTTCTATAATGCACTTTTTTGGGGTTTAGAATTTTGAATTTATAGTGCAAAAGCATGGACTCTACAATGCAATTATTATTACTATTACTTATTTATATTACTATTATTTATTTATTTATTTATTATTATTATTATATGGAAGACTTAGAATTGTTCAGGGATTACAAATTGTCCAATCACAAAGGCTGTTTTTGTTCATACTAATTACTGAGTTATGCATTTTCTCTTTGTTTATTTTTTTGCATGCAATTATTTGTTATGTGCTGTGTAAGAGACTGATTGGTTGCCTGATCTTACAGGTGAATGTTCCAAAAACGAAGAAGACATACTGCAAATCCAAGGAGTGTTGGAAAGCGCACCTTGCACAAGGTCACCCAATACAAGAAGGGGAAAGATAGCCTTGCTACTCAGGGGAAGTGTTATGATCGCATTCCACAAGAAAGTATAATATGAAGCTTTTCTAATCTATTATCTCTAGAATTGGGGAAATGTTGAAAATTCGTTTAGTGCAAGAAATGAGGAAATATTGAGAATTGGTTTAGTGCAATGCAGTTTCACGGCTAATGATGCTTTTATCTACCTCCTCTAAACCCGGCAAAAACAACCAAGAAGATTGTGTTGAGGTTGCAGCACCGAGGCTGCAAACATGTTTCACAACATGCAATCAAGGTTAGTTGTTAGAATTCCTAAGCTTTGTACTTTTTCATATCTTGCTGGTTTGCATTTGTCTATATTTGATGATTTCAATTGGATTGGTGCAATTTGGTTGTGCAGAGGTGCAAGCATTTTGAGATTGGTGGTGACAAGAAAGGAAATGAGACGTCTTTTTTCTAAGATTGACATCAATATAATGAATTGGTATCGAATCTTTTCAAGAATAGGTCCACAGAATTTTGTTTGTTTAGTTATTAGCTTTTTACCCTGGATTCTTATTAACATACATCTACGTTTTGACATGACAACTAAATCCTGAATGACTTGACTATGATTGCAAGGGCAAGTGTGTTCCCTTTAAGATGTTTTGGATTGTGGAGTTTAATGATTAAAAGCTGTTTGATCATTCCATTGGACCATTGCTGCTATGTTTTCTGATGTCATTTGCAATAACATGGTATCTGCTTTTCGTAAACAAATGCATATCTTAATAGCTCTAGTGGATAATATTTTTTCTGGTGCGTACAAAGGATCTGTCCACTTTGAGCATATTATCGCTACGAGGAGGGAAAGTTTTTTCTCCCAAATACTACCTACTGAACCAGTAAACTAAGCCCGTGCAGGCAGATAATTTCTTTTTTTTTTTTTTTTTTTTTTGTTTTTTTTGTTTTATTAGTGTGATGATGTTGCATTCTTGATTTTCATTTTTACTTTATTTTTAAATTTTTTGATGAGTTGGCTTTCTCTTATGTTCATGCATTCCATTTTGTACCTTACGGATGTTCAATCAGTGGCTAAAGATTATGTGACATGGTATAATACTATAATTGGTGGTCCAAGTGTCATCTTTCTGTTTGGAATTTTATTGAATAAATGATACTTTATCATGTTGCATTCTTAGACTATATTAGACTGTCATATTCTTAGTTTAAAACCATAGAATATCAAATGTTAATCTTATCTACTTCATTTAGATCTTTGGGCTTCAAGTTTTGCCTAAAATACTAAGAAAATGATTTGTAGTTAGCAAGGAGGAAGTAGATAAGCTATGTTTGACTTTTTAAATCCCCTTTTTCCTTTCAAAATATGGAAATTCTAAATTAATACTAAAAAAGTTTTCTAATCTTAAGACCTATATAACCAATTGCATCATTCTCTTTTGTCTACCTATCTTTACATGAGCTAAGTAGGAGTCATTATTAATATTTTGGAGTTTGAATTTAGTGCATTATTTTTATTTATTAATATAATTTTTTTTTGAAAAAATAATATTTTTAATTAAATCTAAGAAAATAATATTTAAAAAAATATACCTATATATAAATTTTATATTTACATGTTTTCTTGTTTTTTTTTTTTTTGTTAGATCACGAAATGTTCTGAGTAGATCCTAATTTTAAACTCGTACCATACTCAAACTAATCTTTATTTGCATCAGGCTGGTCCAATTAAGGAGCAAAGTGTTGGCGAGATTAATTTTTTCATACGAGAAGGAGTTGGAACTCCTGACTTCTCTTAAAAGATGAGAGTGCACAACAATACTGGTTTTCTTGTTTCTGTGCTACACAAGTGATTGGATATTATAGCACACAATATATTTCAACTTTACTCTGTGTCTGTGTGTGTGTGTGTTTTTTTTTTTTTTTTTTTTGGTAGGTGAATGTTCATTTTGTTTTGATAAATACTTAATTTATCAAAATGTTCCTTTGCATCATTTTAATTGTTTCTGATGGTTTTTTGGAGATTAAATTTATCATAAATCAATAATAGAAGTACAAAATAAAGATTGAAAAATAGTAATTTTATTACTTGGGGCACTAAACGTAAAAAAAATATGTACAATAGTCCCGAGATAACAACCCAAAATTGCAGCCAAAAGAATAAATGAATAATGAGCACTATAGCGCAAGTGATGGACTAGAAATAATATTAAACTTGCTAGAAATCAAACCCAAATATTTGTGTTGAAAGTTAAGAGTCAGGACCAAACACCACCAGGCTAGGAGGCTTGCAATGCTCAGATGCCCAAGGAGGAGGCCACACAACCTATTTATAGTGCCTAAGATCCCTACATCTTGTGACAAGTGTACGATCCTCCTTCGTACCTTAGCTCTGCCAACCACGTGTCCCTCTCTATCCTTTCCTCTTACCACCCAGGTCGCCAAGACCATGGTTGGTGGGGGGTGGGGGGACAGTTCCGTCCATCACTTCATTGCTAGTCACACCACGACCAGGAAAAATAACATAATGTATATAATACAATTCTTATAACATAATGTATAAAAAAATAACAAAAAAAATGAACATAAATAAAGGATATAACTCACTTATTAGTTTTTAGATTTCAAGATTTTATTGTTAATTTCTTGTAGGGTGAACCAATTCATAAAATAAAAAATTGTATTTGTCATGTGACTATGTAAGCAGATAAACTTAGAAGTTAGAAGGTAAATTTATGAGAAGTCAACATTATTCTTAAATGTTTTCAAAAAAACATTATTCTTAAATTAAATTCTCAATATCATATATATTATGGCACTTGAACCGGCCTTGTGACATTTCTAACTGCCAATGTAACTCACTTCTACAACAAGCCCCTTTTTCACATCACATGTTTGGACCTGTCTCTTTTGAGTTTGATGACAAATTAATTTTTCAAAATATAAGTTTGACAGCAAGTAAATTATGCATTAAATATTGTTATTTTAAGATTCACAATTCAAAATATAAGTTTTAACACGTTGTGCTTAGATTATATTATTTTTATTTTTATAACTCAAGTTACAACGTTTAACATTATAATGTTAAATTGTTTGTTTCACACAAGAAAAATTAGATTGAAAGAAATAAAATATGGCACTAAAACTTTTAATGTGACACTAATATTTCTGTGTAATTAATAATAATAATAATAATAATAATAATAATTATTATTATTATTATTATTATTATTATATTATTATTATTATTATTATTATTATTATTATTATTATTATTATTATTATTATTATTATTATTATTATTATTATTATTATTATTATTATTATTATTATTATTATTTGTAGGAGAGACATTTAAGAGCAATCACATTTGTGATTTTTTTCATGAATTTTTCCATAGAAAAAATTCAACATGGGTTTTTGGGCAAATGGTAAGTGATATGTTTTTTTAGGCTTTTATTACTGCAAAATTATGTTTATTTATTTATTTTTTTTTTTTTTTTTTTGTGTGTGTATGCATGGACCCATGCTTGGATAAACTGAAGTAGGGGTGGGCACTTCGGTTCGGTTTATCCGAACCGAACTAGTAATAGAAAACCGAATGGTTCGAGACTTTGTAACCCGAATGGTTTAGTACCGAATCGAACCGAAACCGAACGGTTTGGCAAAAATCAAACCGAACCGAACGCTATATAATTTTTTTAATAAATAATAATAATAATAATAATAATAATAATAAAAAATTAATAATAATAATAATAAATTAATAATAATAATAATAATAATAATAATAATAATAAGTAAATCCAAGTTCCTTGATGCTTGCTCCGCCGTTCAGTTCTCATTCTTACTGGTACCGAACCTTAAATTTTTTATTTGATTTCTTTATAGCTTGTTTTCTACATTGCACTTTTGTTGTTTGTTGCAATTGTTCTTTACCTCACAATTATATCTAACTTGAGTTATATTTACAATATTCAGTATTTTCCTTAATTTCATGTTTTTCTATAAATTTAATGTGCTTTACAGTCATTCTAATTTTGATTTCCAGTGCATTATAATTATTTTCTAGTACTGGAATATATTTCGAGTGCACTAGCAATGACAGATTTTGTCCAAAAATTAACTATATAGTAATTGACACTTGTTCTTTTAATATCAACTATATAGATAGATGATTATTCATCTTATCAATAAAAATATTCCAACTGAATATTTTTATTTGATGTTTCATGTTTGTACTCTTTAAACATTGGATTTGAAGTTTGAACTACGTGATTCATGTTTGTAATGTTTGAACTTTGAACTTTGGATTCTAATTTCTAAGTATGTGATGTTTTGGTAATTGGATTGCTATTAGTATGTGATGTTAGTATTTACTATTTAGTAGTATGTTTAAACTTTGAATTATTATTTTGTTATATAACGTTTATATTTTAGATGTGAATTATGTGAATATGTATTGTTTGGTAGTATGTTTGAAAAATTATGAAATGTTGAAATTTGATGATCGTAATTCTCGTAAAGTCTTAAATCGAACCGAAGCCCGAACCGAATTAAATTCGAACCGAAACCAAACCGATTGAAACCGAACCGAAGTCGAACCGAACTATAATGTTAAACCAAATGGTTCAACTTTTCTAAAATCGAAAAATTGAAACCGAAACTGAAAAAACCGAACCGAAGACTGAAGTGCCCAGCCCTAAACTGAAGCGCAAATCGCGCGTTTTGAGCATCCATTCAACCGCACACGCCATGATGGGCGCGTGACTGCAGACATTTTTTCTTTTAAAAAAAAATTGCTAGATTTTTTTCCCTTTCTTTTTTTCTCTCTCCTTTCTTCTAGTTGGCATTAAAAAAAGAAAAAAAAAAAAAATCATAACTAATGAAGTTGCTCTAAGCTATGATTTTAAACAAATCTAGTGAGGTAATAGGTGGGGGCAATATGAATATATTATGTATGATCAGTTGGTGTGGATATGCTTAAATCCATTTCGTATTTATTAATATACAATTGTCCAAAGGGGAAGGTTAGATGGCTATTAACTTATGAAGCAGACAACCAAATTGGACCATACTTTTATAAAACCCAAAAGTTCGAAATCTAAAACAATGTGCTCGTTTTGTTTGTGTTAACTACTCAAATATTTATGAAGATATTCCCTTTGCTTCATTTTAATTTTTTCATTTATATAATTTTGGAGAATTTAATTAAATGTTGACTGAATTTATGCATTAATTATTACGATTTATATCATAATTTATAATTTTTTTTTTTTATACATAAGTGATCTTAGTTTTGTCGGACTAATCCTAAGCCCACAGGATATCACCCGAAACGTTATGTTGTGATCACGTGGGCACGTGCTCACAGCATAATTTGCCGACATCACCCCTAGAGCCATTGCCGAGGTAAATCGCAAGTCGCGCAATCAATCCACCAGTCAAACTTTAGTTTTCCTATGCACACAAGAGATTCAATCCACACCTTCCATCATCCTGAGCCTTTATTACATCCATGTTTCTCGTGAGATTCAAAACTCCACACTGCTGCTTTCATCGTGACATCAAGTCAGACAACAAATAACTATGCTAAATTATTATTTTCATTAGTAGGAGGTCAATTTCACTTTCATTGTTTCTTTATATATATATATATATATATATATATATATATATATATATA